TTCCCAGCCCGTGCTCTCTTATTACTCTCTTGGTGAATTCATTCGCTGTACACAGGTGTTTTATATTCAGTATATCCCATTTGTCAATTTGTGCCTCCTCTGTGTTTGTGTCCTTCCCTATTTCTGATAGCCTATGTATTCCCTGTGCCAAAGTCCTCAAGTTGGTCCCAATTCCCTCATTGATGGCCCCAATAGTTTGGGGTTTACTTCAAGGTCTGTCTGTGACCCACCTTGAGTTTATTCTTGTGCATGGAGTGAGGTAAGGGTCTTGCTTCATTTTTCTGCAGGTAAATATCCATTTTTTTCCAACACCACTTGTTAAAGAGGGCATCTGCTTCCCATGATATTTTTTGGGGAAAAACCAGCTTTCAATTCCAGGCTGTGGTCCTTTGTGTAACTTTGAATGTAAGCTGCCAGAACTCAGTCCGTTAGCATAGCATTAGCACAAACACAGCACATTGATATGAAGGGAGACAGAAAAACAACCAACACAAAAGATAAGAGATGATAACAATGAACCAACAGATGATGATAATAACTCTTGATATCAATGGCTTCAACTTTCCCATTAAAAGGCAAAGGTTAGCAGACTGGTTCAGAAAACATAACACATCAATCTGTTGCCTGCAAGAGACACATCTAAGTTCACAAAAAATATAAATACTAAGAATAAAAGCTGGTGGAAAATATACCAGGCAAACAGCAACTCAAAAAGAGCAGGAATTGCAGGAGACAAGGAGGGGCACTATATAATGCTCAAAGGATCAGTAGACCAGGAACTAGTGAGCATAATAAATATGTACGTGCCTAATGAGAGTCCCACGAAGCTCATCAAACTATTCAAAAAAGAAATCACAGATTCAACAATCATAGTAGGTAACTTTTATACACCGCTATCAGAGAAAGATAGATCACTGGGAGAGAAGCTCAGCAAGGAGGTTACACTACGATTAGGCAACTGACCTGACAGATATTTATAGAGCTTTTCATTCAGTTGGAACAACAACAAAATCACATTCGAGTGCCTGTGGCTCATTTTCAAATAGACCAAAATGCTGGGATACAAGTCAAGCCGGAGTAAATTCAAACACAGAGATTACTCAAATGACCCTCTCGGACCACCATGCCATAAAGCTGGAGATCAACAAAAGGATGACCAGATAAACAAGGGCAAACAATTGGAAGATGAATAACGATCTTCTGCGACATGAATGGGTAGTGGCCCAGATTAGAGAGGAAATGAGCATGTTTCTAGAAACAAAAGAAAATAAGAATACAATGCACCAAATCCTATGGGATACAGCAAAAGCAGTTATCAGAGGAAGTTTGATAGCAACAAATGCATATATGAGAGACATATGATTGATACGCCACCACGAAACCTCGAGCAACAGAAAACCCCTCCAATAGCAAAAGAAAAGAAGTAATAAACATCAGGACAGAGTTAAACGAGTGGGAAGACAAGAGAACAATGCAGCAAAAGCTGATTCTTTGAAAGGATCAACAGAATCGACAGACTGCAAGCCCAACCAAGGAAAGGAAGGAGCAAACATCAATCACCAGGACGAGGGATGAAACTGGGGAAATCACAACAGACCCCAACGAGATTAAAAGGACAATCACAAAGTATTATGAAAGTTCGTATTCTAATGAATTGAACAACTTGGTGTATAGGTGTGTACATATGTGGATACATTCATTCATTAAAATACAGGTATTGGAATATGTACATATATTTATATGGCAATACATTGAGGTAGTGGGCAGACTTTGGGCCTCTGCTCAAGCCCTGCCTCAATGCAAATACACTTTGTTCTAACAACCTGACATTCTGTGATGCTCACCCTCCAGCATGATCGCTGAAGACAAAATGGTTACACAAGCAATTGTGGTGAAGAAAGCTGATGGTGCCCGGCTATCAAAAGATATGGTATCTGGGGTCTTAAAGACTTGAAGTTAAACAAGTGGCCATCTAGCAGAGAAGCAACAAGCCCACATGGACACCAGCCGACCATGAGGTGTCGATGGGATTGGGTAACAGGCATCAGAAGACCCCAAACAAACCAATACAATAAACGTGTTAAGAATTGGGGGGGGGGGGAAGATCAGAGCAGAGACCCCAAACCCATCCGTAGACAATGGGACATCCCCTCACAGTAGGGTGACAAGCAAGGTATGATTCAAACAGGGTACAGTATAGCACCGATGTAACATACAATATTCCTCTGGTTCCTTGAGGCTTCCTCAACCTCCACTATCATGACCCCAGTCTGCCTCTCACTGCGAGTGAAGCTGGAGCATGTACTCAGGTACAGGTAAGAGACCACAACACAGGGAATCCAGGTCAGATAAACCCCTCAGGAACAGAAATGGGAGTAGTGATACCAGGAAGCAGGGGATGGTGGGGACAGGAGGGGAGGAAGGGGAAACCAAATGCAATGATCAACACATTAACAACCCCCCCACTAGGGGGACGAACAACAGAAACCGTGGGGGAAGGGAGACAGCAGTCGGTGTAAGATATGAAAATAATAATTTATAATTTATGAAGGGATCAGAAGAGTGGGAGTGGGGACGGAGGGAAAAAAGAGGAGCCTCTATTAAAGGCTCAAATAGAAAGTAAATGTTTATAAAATAATGATGGCAACACGTGCATAAATATGCCTGATACAACTGATGTATGGATTGTTATAAGAACTGTAAGAGCCCCTAATAAAATGAGCTTTTAAAAAAAGTAGAATATGCATTAGTGGGGAGAGTGACATATACTAGAGAATGACATAAATAGAGAGTGACGTATAATAGAGAATATGAAAAATAAGCTTGTTTCTATACCAATTATAGATCTAAGTTTTGAGAAAGTATGTGAGGAGTGTAGAAGGTTATTAAAATTTCCAAACACAAGCTCAGTCTCAACAGATTTTCAGGGAAAAAAGGACTTCATTTTGATGACACTTTTTCCATTCTGTGTATTCTTAATTGTAACTTAACAACCACAAGTTACTTACCATATTTTATTGAATGCAGAGAGAGCAAACTTTCTTAATCTGATTCTTAACAACTAGGAAACAAAAACACCCCATTCCTATATATGTATTTGATTTTTTAATAAAAATAACTTCAATTAAATAATTATCTGACAAAGCCAATCTCTCTAGTACAGTAATAATTGGAATAACTATTCGATCCTGATAAGCTCTAATGAAAATAATCTTTTAGTGATCTTTCCTATTTGAACATCCTGAACAGGAGTGAATAACCAGAACTATGAAGAAAAAAGGGAATAAAAAGATACAGGAAAAAAAACAAAACACAGAAATCCCAAACACAAATATTTAGAAAATGAAGTATCGAGGGAAATTTTTTATAAACGCAACTTCAGAAATACTTTTATTTATGATTCTTTTATAATGACCAGTTAATAGCTATCCTTTTTCTCTCTCAAGTTTCTCTGGAAACGATAGAAATTTCTAAGATTTGTTTTTTTGCAGCAAAGTTTTATTATTTTTCTTCATAACTAAGTTAAAAGCAATTATTCAGCCTTTAAAAAGAAAATGAACGATCTTTTCACTAGAACATAAAAACAGGGTATCTTTATTTTTCCATACTAGGAGTGTGTTTTTCAAAGGAAATATGGCCACAGACAGAATTCTTAGGAAACCAGGTGTCCCTTTCAAGGGAAGCACAAAACCCAGTGAGAAGTCCGCCTCGGTCACCTAGACACGGATGTCAACAGTGCAGACACAGCCCCCGAATACCATTTCCAGGAGCCAGAAGCATACAGCCAAGGCTGAATTTGGTCATGGACTACTTTTTTGAGGGCTGAGCTAAGAATGACGTTTACATTTTTCAAATGGGTTTTCAAAACAAGTCACAAAACAAAACAAAGCAAACCGAAAAACAAAAACACTTAATATTTATGATCTGTCTTTGTATTGCATGTCTGCAGATCCTTGATTTATGCCAATGTTGTACAGAAGTAGGCAGTGCAACTGTAAGTCCCAGATAATATTCATTATTTTTTCCCACTAGGAATAAAAATGGTGTCTTTGGATGTCACGTCAGAGTTACTTTTCCTTTCAAATTCTTCATATTATCAAAGTTCATCCTGCAAAGATAATGTAAAATGTAATCAAGAGAGAAGCCAATAAAGCATGTCCTTCTCACGTTAGACACAAAGAGAATAGAACAAGTTGACATTCAGATGACACACACCTCGCCTAACCAGCTCGAATAGGGGGAAATATCTCACTCCTAACAAGCACTAACAACTATAATTTTATATGCGTTTAAAGTGCGATTTGGCATGCTCTTTAATTCTAGTTATAAAATTCTGATTTATAATTAATAATGTAGTCTATGTCAGTTTTATCTTGAAATAGAAGTTACTAATTTCAAAATAAGCCAAGAAAATACATATCCGTGCCTACTGCTTTCCTCTCTTTAGGATCTGAAGGAAACAGCTGTCAGAGCGGGCTGGAAGGCCATCTGCTAGGGAGGCACCTGACTGCATTACAGCATTTCAATGTCTACAGGCCACACCTCGTATTTTGTTTCAAGTATTATTTTTGAAGCTTCACTTCACTTGCTTTATTGACATACCTAATGAAAAAAAGTAAAATACACTTTTCACTAAGGGTAGCTGTACATTTGTTTAGTCCTTACCTTACTTCTCTTTCCTTGATCTTGTAGCGTTTCCAGTTTTTTATATATTAAATCAGCTATAGCTTTTGCATCTCTCATGTCTATTTGCTCTCCCCAAATATTTCTCTAAAATGAAAATTATTATCAATTACATATTTAATAAAATCATGAAAATTTAATCCAGTTAAAACATTCAGTACGTTTTAAATATTCCTCTCATCCCTCATATTTCGGTGTGTGAAACTCAAATTTCTCCAGAGAACTCTGCAGACTTTACACAGCACACACCTGAAATAAACGTCACTACTACTAGTATTATGGGAAGACTGTACAATAATTCCTTGGGAAAAAACATTTAACTCAATGCCTTGAAACATCCTTTTTGCTTAAGAAGAGACAGTCCTAGAAAACAGCAATCATGTTAACAGATTCACCGACACTGACAAACCCTTGTTCAGGTGCAACAATGGGTTGGGGTGCACACAGTAGGATGGCAGCTGTAAAGCAGGGATAGGTGTTGATTACATCCTGGCAACTTTCCTTGGAATCCGGAGCTACCTATTTCCTTATGCCTGGTGTGAACCCCAACCCCCAAATCCAAACTGTATATGAAGACTTTATTCTTCGGCGTTAACTCTTGTTCTGACCTCTGACAGGCTGTTTATTCGTTATTATTTTGCTTTTGTCTTCCTATCTGGTCTGGACCTCTGGATGCCATTCCTGGTCTTTTAGTTCCAACAGCGACACTGTAGTAAATGCCAACCTTTCCCTTTGGATCCCTTGGGACATGCAGTGTCACCTTTTCAAATGGGCTAATACCATCACTGCTCATAGTATCCCTGAAAATGACCCTATATTTACGTCAGACGTTTTCAGCTATTCTTAGAATTGAGAAATGGAACTGCTAATTCTAAAGGAACGAGGACTCAGCTTCCAGTTAAAGTCATTTACCTGTCTACTCCAGCCTCTATCCAGAGTTGTCAATCTCAGAATGTTCTTAAAATTAAAATTCATTACTACAGAGTCAATTCTAACTCAGTGACTCTACAAGGTAGAGCAGAAATGCCCCGACTCTGTGAGCTTCTGAGACTAAAATCTTCCCAGCAGCAGCAAGCTCATCTTTCTCCTGGAGAAGCGGATGGCTCTGACCTGCAGACCTTGAGGCGAGCAGCTTCACGTGTAACCCACTGCATTACCAGGAGTCCTTAGGATAGTTGTAAGATAGGTTTCTTGTGTCTTGGCAAATTACAAAATGTTGCTGAAAAATCTAACACTTAGCTGATAGCTAATTTCTTTATTTAGCTCTATTTCTGATTGTATTATATATAGTTATCATCAATAATATCAGGTCTTAACCATGTTTTTTCCAAAAGATATATATTAAAGTATTTGAAATTAGAATATTTGACCAGAACACGTGAATATATGACAAACACTTGCTTAGTTCCATTGGTGAAACTGTCTTAGATTTTCACTTGGGAAGACAGCAAAGGTCATGAATACTTTCAGTGCACAGTGCAATGACTGCAAGACATATGCTTATGTAACATGACCACAGACGTTACCACATTAATTCCTTTCTGACCCACTGGTAGATGCAAAGAAATTTTTTTAAAGATCATTTTATTAGGGGCTCATACAACTCTTATCACAATCCATACACACATCAATTGTGTAAAGCGCATTTGTACATTCATTGCTCTCATCATTCTCAAA